AACAAAGGGATTTGTCAGCATTTTAACCTTGAAAAGGCCTAAAAGTTGCATCCAGTCATGACGTGCATACTTTATATGGATGAAAAGAAGCTTTCTCCACCACAACAGTGTGGCCTTGGACTGTTATTTTGCAGCTAGAAGTCATTTGTGGCTGTTTCTGTTATGTCTTTCTAACGTACTTCCTGAGTTTTATCATCACTCTGTGATGATAAGACGCTCTGTGTCTGCCTAAACACATGCATTGGGTGTACAGGGACATTGTACACATCAGAATACAAACACATGCCCTCAGTCAGCATGTCTTAGCAAATATTCTAGGGAAATCTCACATGACAGCAAACAGAGTCCAACAGGAACAGGAACCGGGGCAGCCGGTGGGTTTCTTTAAGATGATGTGTATTCCCTGAAGGCTCCTCTTTTCTGAATTTGTATGAGCTACTCCTATTCATGCTGTGGTGGCACAGCAGGGTCACGGTGTATTCTCGGTAAATGCTAAATATTGGGAATGGCAGAGGAAGAGGGTTTTTCTGGTTTTGCCTCATGCTGAGAAGGAGACATTTAGTCTGAAACCATGTCTCTGAAAGTAATTTCGGAACTGCAGCTCATTACAAGATGCAGGTTGTTTGTGGGCCTACATGCTTGTTCATGAAACGTGTTCAGGCCTTATCCATCAATTTCCCTCCAGAAACATCTCACTCAAAGGAGAATGTCTCTGTTTTCACATCCTGATCTAGGGATAGAAGAGTCAAAGGGTGAAAGTGAAACTTGGTCTTCATTTCTTTGTGGTTGCTTTATAAATAAAGAAATACCGGTCGATGACATTCAAATGGAAAATGTTTAATACCAATGTGACTCATTTAAGACGCATGGCTGCTATGTGCAGAAAGGGGGAAGGTGACTTTCTCACAAAAAGGGGAGGAGATGAGGCCTTATCACGTGGCTTCAAGTTATCTGGATCCTGATTTGAACCAGTTTCAAACACTTGCATCAATCCCAGGCTAACACAGTATGCTCTAAGAAACTTCTGGTAGAACTGGTGGCTAGAGGTCCACTAGCTGAAGCAAGAGATGATGATGATGATGATAGTTGTATTTTTTTCTCCATGACTATTGTTTGGATTTCCATGACATTTTGCAACATGGGTCTCAGTGAATTTGGTGATCCCCTGGCTTGTCAACCAGCAGCTCATAATTTCCATTAGCCAAAGCGAAGTCCCAGGTTTTATGGTTTATGATGTTCATTAACTGTAGAAACTTCCTATTGTCAGATTCATTCTAAGTTAGTGTGGATAACGTTTAAAGACACAGCAGAATGTAAGATTGTGAAACAGCGTAGGAGTTGTGTTTTGTCCCGGAGTATTCTGAGGCTTGTGTTGGGTAACGGGCAGCCTTGACTGAGCGCAGTGTTTGTAAAGACTGTTTGTCCATTTGGGCCTGTGGGAAAATGGGTGCTGCCTCTAGGAAAAAGCCCTGATGTGTTTGTTTCCACAATATGCCAATCTAAGTGTGCCACAGTGAACACACCCTTCTCAACCCTGTGACCTTTCTCAGCTACACCCACAGGCAGACTGGGTGTTGACAGGTATTTTGTTTTAACAATTTAACAAAGGATGCTTTGACTCTGTAATATAACCACAGCTCAACTGTGGACCACCAACATGACAAAAATTAGTGGAATATACAGTAGTAAAGGAGTAAACATGGATGGATTATGAGAGAATGGGCCCCTGTGCATGAACAGGTTAAAGGCCCCCCCCACCGCTCTTACATAGGACCCAAACTGAAAGAGATGCAAAACAATTATACTGTAAATGATGCAACTGCTTTATGATCATTTTGTCTGTTTTTGGTTGTTTTTTGTCTGTGTTTTGTTTATTTGAGGTTACTGTGCATCCCATTTTGTTCATTTAGTGCCTCTGGTTGTTTTGACTCATTTTGTAACAGTGTTCTGTGACTTTCAAACAAGAATCTTCAAGAGCCTGCACAACATGGAGGCTCTGCACAGGGGCCACCTAATCCCTGAGCCGGTTGGGCCCATTCAGTAATCCGTCCATGGGGTATGAGCATTCTTACATTATCCTTCTTTGAAATGTTTTCAAAGTCTTAACAATCACAGATGCTGTTTTGTTTTCTTAGGGTCCACACAGTTCCATTCATTCGGTCACCTGGTTCATCAGAACAGAAAACAAGCTGTGTACAAATTAATCTCCTGGTAAAGAGAAAAGGCTTTTTACTGTACTATTCCTTTAAAACAAAACATCTACTAGCAACCCCTCATCTGATTGCTTACTGTATGTTTACTAACACATTCAGCCAAAGAATATCAACTTGAAGAAGTCACATCCCCAGTGAATCTCTAGAAAAAGGGGAAAGGTTAGAAGGAAAATAACCAGTTTTATGTAACAAAAATGTTTTTCTGCTTTCTCATACTGTTAAATATCTCACAAACCTACAAACAACCTAACAAACCCCTTGTGATCTATACTAGATAATATGGGCACCTACTTTACAATGTTTCAGTCTAAAAAGCATTTAGAGATCATAAAGAATTATGAGTAGAAATGCAGCAGACAACATTTGGGTCAGTTTAACAAACTTACTGAAACATGTGTAAAGGGGAGAGTCCCCCGACATGACACCACATCTGTGCTTCCCTCTCATCTAACGTCCAATTTTCTTCACCAGGTCAACACTGCAAGCAGTGGTTGCATCAGATAAGGTTTCAACAGTTTCTGCTTATAGAGATATTATGTAAATCGTAATGAGAAATTTGTCACTAGCATTTATGCTATGCAGAAACTGGGCAGGGTTCAGCTCAGCTGACTTGTGTAAATACAGAGGTGTGTGTCCACACCAGAAAGTCATTTTAACATCCAGTGAGACTTGAGAAAGGCTGACTTTTCCAATCCTGCAGAGCGATGAAAAGGACACGTTCCTCTTCTGTTAATAGCCTGTGTCTACTTTTGAGCAAGGCATCAAGAGCTAAATGAAACAAGCTGCAGGGAAGTCACCCAAGCATTGGCCACAACTTCTGCTTTTACTTCCTCTGTATGTGTGTGCTCATGAAAATGTGCAGAATTTCCCTGTCTTTTTATACATGACAGCTTTTAATATACTTGCCTAATGTCCTATATAAAGCACTTTGAATTACCTCTGTGGAAGAAATGTGCTCTATAAATAAAGCTGCCTGTCTTATAAATATGGATCCCTCTGCATGTGGATGATGATTGAACATGACTTTAGTTGGAATTCTAGTTTGTATTGTATTGTTGGACTCATTCTTTTATTGCTTTTATTATTATTTTTATATAGTTTTATGTTTTTTGATGGCTAAATTGAAGCGTGAACCTTACTGATCACAGCACTCCTTTCTGGCCACACTGGAACAGTACCTCTGTGACATTACACTCATGGTTAGGTTTGATTTACACTGCATGACCTTCTAGATGGGTGGAAACAAGAACCTGAAAACCAGTTGTGGTGGAAACACCAGCTAGATAAAAAAAATATATCATAGAAAACTGATTTTCCCTGTAGTTCAATTGGTAATTTATTAGTTACACCTAGCTAAAACTAATCCAGTCTAATACAGCAGTCATGCCATGACCTCTCCCCTCATGAAGGTGATAATGTTCAGCTACGGTTGAAACTGTTTTAGTGTATTTTTTCTGCTGCGTGCATCTAGAGGTGGCTGTGCCAGCTGTTGTTCTGCCACTATGGTAAAATGAAATATGTCAACAATATTTTGATAATAAGGTCAAACTTTTACTTTGTCCAGTATTTTGGATTAAGACCAAATACCTGCAGAACTGATGACATTCCCATGAACCTTGGCTTTACTTTGTGTTATGTCCTACTTGGTTGGTAAGGTTAACATGACATGCTTATGGTTAACATCATGTTATCAGTTGGCATTTAGCTCAAACAACCACTATACATAAGGGCTTTAAGCTTTTCATCCTGTTTAGTTTAAGCTGAGAAATATTTGGATGAAGGCTGTTGGGTAGTGTTAGAGCAGGCCTCTACATCTTCCTCCTTTTGGACACATTCCACAGTGGAAACCTAGACACAACTATGGAAATTATGTGTTATCCTTGACGCTGACACCTCTGTTGTCCTTTTGTTAGATGAGCTAACATCTAAAAAATATTTATATTTTAGCTCCACTTCTTGGTTTTCCACAACCAATCAAGCTAGGTTCTCATTCGGACAAGCAGTATGTACATATAGAAAACTTTATTTCCTCCTGCTTCTAAGTAATGCTGTTAATGCGTGGACATTTTGCTGGAGGAAACTGACACCGATACCCATTGTTAGTAAAGGCCACTGTGGTCAGGTGTGTTTGCACCCTTAACCGTTGTTGTTAAATGAATGAATACATGAATGCACATTCCAGTATGTGTGAAATTTAGCTCAACACTAATGACAAACAGAGAAGTCCATTCATGAGGTGAGGCTTTCCCTTGTGCAACAGGGAGGGAAGAAGTGGTGGGTGTGACCTAAAGTACTTAAATGTGTGAGTCTGCACTGCAAGCCTTTCAGCCACAGCAGTATGAATGGTGGAAGTGCAGGAGACGACTCTGGTGCAGCAATTAAGAAAGTTAGTGAGGTGACAGCACCAGAAAAAGCGCGCACAAGGTTTGCTGTGTCTTCAGGATTACTGTTATTAAGCAGTGTAAAAGTCTGAAAGTGTCAGGTGCAGATTCGAGCCTCGCAAATGTTGTCTAAAGGTGAAAAAGACGTGCAAACTGCGCGTCTGCTGCCGGTGATGTGGGGTAAGTAGCTGTCTTCATTTTCTTTTATGAATAAACGCATACAACTCCGAGAAGTTCTCCACTTCACAGCAGCGCTCCCTTCAAAGTCCAAATGAGGAAGCAGTTTGTGACTTCTGCACTCACTGAGGGTGAATCTGTGCACCACCACAGCGATGTTTCAGAGCTGTTTTGCACAAAACTCGATGCAGCAGAACTATAACTTGTCCTAAGAAGTTAACCTGATTTGAGGGTCGTGCAGAGCTCACTCATGCGTAATGGGCGGTTAGTGCAGATAAAAGGAAGTATGCGGCGTCAGACAGAGATAGTAACCCAGTCTTCCTCTTCCTTTTGTATTTTTCAAAAAGGTTATTGAATGAATTGGCCTAAACGATTTGCTTTGACTTGGTTGCGCCGTGTCCGCGTTATCCTCTGTTTGCTGCAGTAATGAAAGCGCAACAGAAAAGCTGCGCATGGTCAGAATTATCGACCCGAAGACAATTTTCTTGTGACTTGTGTGAGTTTTATCCTTATCAGCGTGTGCGCTTTGGTTGGTGAGCGTCACCTCCTGGAAAGTGTCTCACCAAGTGAAGTGCGCGTCACTTAAACAGGCCACTTGATGAACGCAAACGAATATAGGAAAGTCATTGCGAGAGCTGCATTCAGGTACTCTCGGAAAAAGGATCACCCAATGTGCTCAAAGCTCCGAATAACCACTGCAAAAATGCAATTTAAATCGTTTTTGTTATAGAAGTATGACAAACTGAGAAATCATGACGTGTAGTTGTCTAGAATGAAATGCACATTCTGTATTGGATCGTCAGAGCAATCAGATTAATAACTGAGGATTTAATTTGAAATAACTTAATTTTATGACAAGTGAATTAACATGGAAGATACTGTAAATTTAGGTGTTGATGAGATATCCTATATTGTAATTCGGCTTTATTAGATGGTTTTTCACAGGATAAATAGTACTTACTTGACAGAACAATCTTGCCACAAAGTCTATTCAGTAGTTCTGGTGCTTTCAGTTGTACCACACAATCTTCCTCAGCTGTAAGGAGTTTGTCTTGTTGTTATGAAACTGTAGTTTCCATAGGCCAAGCAGTTTTTGGCCTTGTTAATGGTAGTGTGACTAAAAAAAATTAAGTCTTCAACTTAAGAGTCTTAAATAGCAGATGGTGACAATCAAGCAAACCTTGTTTGGTAATGAAGACTGAGATGTAAACTCTGGGAAAACTAGTTTCATGTATTGGGTTGTTACATGTGTTTTTTTTTGTTTGTTTTTTTTGTCCATGGTGCATGATCAATCTATCATTACATAATTCATTTCTTTGGTGCTAAAAGGGGTGCGGAGATGTCGTCATTCTTTGCTTTTCTTTATTTCCAACAGTATTTGAACACATCACATCTACTGTGAAGGCACATTTGGTTTTATTTTCACTCTCAAAGAAATGCCTGAGGTCTGTTTTCTCTTTTGTAGAAGATTTAAGGAAATAGTTTGATAGTTTTAACTTTTTCACGTGTGCTTTTGCCATTGTCATGCCAGCACCTCGTTTCTCCACTATATGGACCAATTAAAAGTGAAGATATAGATGCACTGAGGTGTGTGTGAGATAGTTTCATCATGAGTGTCATGGGAATTCCCTGCCCCTGTTTCCTTCATTCATATGGCTGGAGACTCAGAAGTATAACGCTGTCGGCCCAGATATGAGCAGAATATTGAGTGAGTGTGTTTGAGGGAGAGAGAGGAGAGCTCCACATTAAAACATGATGCCCCTTTGATAGGTGCTACAAAAAAGAAGATTGTCTTCTTCAGAAGGCTGTGGCTTTCAGAGAGAATCTGTGTGTGTGTGTGTGTGTGTGCGTGTGTGTGTGTGTGTGTGTGTGTGAGAGAGAGAGAGCAGGTGTGTGCATATGTTTTAAACACAAACAATATGAGGGTGTGTGTTTGCAAGTTTTATTCATACAGCCTTTGTTTAATGAGGCTTGTTCTTTGAGATTATGAAGGTTATTCTTTTCCCTGTCTCTGTGTTATAAAGAAAGCACCACAGTCATTTCCTCATTCCACTTCCTAGTGACCTCAGCAGCACAGACTTCCTCTTGTCACTTGCTCCATTTTGCATCCCCAGCAGCAGCCGCCAAGTGTGACGCTTAGCAGGAAGAAGCACAACGCCCACATGAACACTTTGCCTGGTAACGGATCATATCACATTTTTGGTGCAGACACAAGGTTGCAGATTACATTTAAAATACTTGGAGACTGGAAGGATGTGCTCCAGCCTTGCTGATAATTTGCATTATGTCCAGCCTGCTTTAATTTCTCTGTTGATAGCCCAGCTATACCATGAAGCGCCAAGCAAGCAACATCAAACCATCAAAAATGGCAGTGGTTACTTTGCAATGAAATTACTACTGAAAATTTTATTTTACAATCCTGCTGCAATGCTGAAATCATAATTCTGCATAGGGGGCAGTGTTACTCCAAGACAGTGAGTGGCCAAAGTACGTTTTAAATGTTGGATATGGCTGTGTCCGCAGTATAAGGCTATAAGCCCTTTATGAAGGTAATTACTATGGTAAAGTTACATCTTTGTTCTATGATCACAGTAAAGTATGCCCTCTCCTGTACATTCAGTCCTTCTGTTGTGAGTTGGTGAGCATGGAAATAAAGTCAAAGCCGGAACTGGCTAATTACAGGTTTCTCTGTGTGCTGTGTATCAGTATAGACAAACTAGAGGAAATGTACACAAGAGATGTTGCTATGGAGATGCAGCCAGAAGCAGAGAATGTTGAGTCAAAGGTGTGAGGTTCATTTAAAGTTCATCTGTCACAGTCAGGTGAGATTCAGGTTGAAAGTCCGCATAATTTATCATCTCTTCATGGGTTGCAAGTAGTTTGAGTGAGAAACATTTGTCTGTACCAACTCCTATTTGGCTCTATAGCAGCTAAATAGCTCCACTATTTTTAGCAGCTAGTCATAACTCTCTGTGTAGGCAGTGCACGGTTGGTTTTATAAGAGCTGTTTTGCTTATTGCTGTCTTAGGCATAGTCGTTCCCAAGAAAATGACTAAGCTTGCAGCTGTTGCCCAGTCAATTATAGAACAGGTTGCAAGGCCTCATTACACTCCCCTACTACAGTAATCGTGTTGCTTCACCTTCCTGAGCATGCAGCCAGCAGGTGTCTGTCAAGGCTACTCGTGCTCTTTATGTTGCAAGAGAGCGATGCAAACCACAGATGGCTCATTCAAATGAAAGTAAGCCTTGTGTCTATTTGTGCAGTGACAAAAAACAAATGAGTGGGTAGCTTTTACATCACACACGCTGGACTGAAATTAGCTCTAGTCATCTCACTGTCATGTTTGTAATCTGTGTTGACTGTAGCTCCGCCTGCGTCGTGGCATTTCATTAGTCAGATTAGTAATGAATCAAATGCAGCATAGATGTGGTTCAGTGTGTTTGGTTACTGTATTTATTTATTGAAAAATAACACTTTGCATAACAAGCATGCTTTACATCAGATTTGACATGAGAATGCATAGACATCATCAGGACCATTCCAAAATGGCTGCACCTATATTTTCATGCCCTCACTGTAGGTGATGGGACACCTTGTTCCTCAGTGTGTTCCACCTTTGCTCTTATGAAACCTTTTCTGAACTGCAGTGGATAAAGGCAATGGTGTAAAGTGGGTTTTCTTTACACATTTAAGCACTGGATTTTCCCTTGGCAGCCCCCGTGTTTCATTTCCTGCAATAATGGCTTCAGTGGAGAGTTTTTGTAGCTCACAGTGGTTTTTAAGGAATAGTCTGACATGTTGGTATAAAGGCTTATGTGCTTTCTTGTCAGAAGTTGGATCAATCTCATCTGTGCATTAAACCTGTAATATCTGCTTTTCTTTTCAAGAACACACTGATGTATTGGCACCTTTTAAAATGGCATGTAGAGTAGAGCTTGTTGTTTTCAGATCCAGCAATTACCAAGAAATATTATCATTAATTTGGAAACAATTTTCTGTCATCCTGGCAAAGTGTATTTACCCTCCCTTTAGCTCCATTTTTGGTCTCCACCAATCCCTGAGATATCTGGCTCTTTAGCTGCTAAACGCCCCACTATGTTCACCAGCTTGTCCTGCTTTTAGGTGCTGAGCTGGCAGTATACAGTGGGTTTGTAGAGCCTCTTATTTTATACATTTATTACATTGTGATAAAAGTACTTATCACTGCTTTAGGTATGGAGCTAGAGACAGGAGGTTATTACCCTAGATTATCTTAGAGTGGAAGCGGTGGGGGGGAACAGCTGGCCTGGCTCTGTCTAAAGTTCAAAACCAGCTGGCAGGACACACACAAGTAGAAAATAAAATACATGCATCACCACCGTGTGTGTGTTAACACAAGTGCATGCATCCCTCACAAGGCGGGGACGATATCACTTCCTCTTCTGTCACTGTCAATCCTCAATTTTGACGTAATAAAAAAAAAAAAAAAACGCCCTGCTCTTCAACACCACAACTTTCCAGGAACTAATAACAGCAGCCTTATTTGTAGCTTAATGGATGTTGTGCTGCATATTTCAGATTGGCCAATGGGGTTTGAGCATTTTCTGAAACCCGGAGGACTAGTGAGCAAAGATATTCTACTGAGGTTTAAAAAAAAACATGAAAACCACGAAATTTGTTTGAGATTTTCAGACAAAGCACTGGTTCAGTGAGGATTGTGCATGAGTGTGGAGGATTATAAAAGAATGTGTGTATTCACTGACTGTTTAGAATGTTTAGGTTTGTGTGTGAAGTTCATGCACGCTAGATGAGTGAGTGGGTGCAGTGCATGTGCACACCTGCTGCTCCTGTGGCCAGCTGTAACCTTTTTATCCTCTTATTTTGAAGGTAAAGTGAAAGTACAGTGGAAGCAAGTTGATCAACCTGATGTGTCGGCAGCATTTCCTGTCTTATCACAGTTTTCACAGCGTATGTTCACATCGTATCTGATAGCTTACAAAGATGTAGTTTACTTAGATGGCTG